TTGATTTCATACATGGCTCGCGGCTCCACAACCAATTCTTCTTCTTCTAATACTTCACCTTCCCCCATGGATGATTCTTCGAGTCCTTACTTTCTCCATTCCGGTGATCATCCTGGCCTTGTTCTAGTCACCCACACCCTTACTGGTAGTAATTTCAATTCATGGAGCCGAGCTATGACCATTGCCCTCACCGCTAAAAATAAATTTTGTTTTGTTGATTCCTCCATTCTTCGCCCAAATTCTTCTGCTCTCCTCTTTTCCTCCTGGAATCGTTGCAATTCCATGGTTATCTCTTGGTTGCTTAACTCAGTTTCCAAAGAAATCGCAGACAGCCTTATGTATTTTTCCAATGCTTATGACTTATGGACTGACTTACGTACCCGTTTTCTGGAAGCAAATGGTCCACGTTTATTTCAACTGAAACTTCAAATTTCCTCTCTGAGTCAGGGTTCCATGGACATTAACAATTATTACACAAAATTGAAGATTCTTTGGGATGAACTCAATGACTATTCCCCAACAGCTGCCTGCACCTGTGGAGCGTTACGAACGTTGCTTGATTCAGTTCAACAGGACCAGACCATGAAGTTCTTGATGGGTCTCAATGACTCTTTTGCCTCCATCCGTGCTCAGATCTTGTTGATGACCCCTCTTCCATCGCTTTCACGGGTATTTTCTTTGGTCCTCCAAGAAGAACGCCAACGTCAGATTTCGTCTACGTTTTCTGCTGCTCCTGACACTCCGTTGATGGGCTCAGTGGCTGTTTCTTCTGGTTCTGTTTCCACATCATCACCACCAGCTTCCATGGCTGCCGTCTCCACCGCTCCTCGCCGTGGCCGTCCTTTTTGTACCCATTGCCAAACTCTTGGCCATACTAAGGAGAAGTGTTTTAAGCTCCACGGTTTTCCCCCTGGGTATAAACCCAGAATCCCACGGCCCAACCCTAATTTCACTTATCCCACTTCGGCCCAAACCCATGCAGCCCATCTTCACTCACCAACTACTGAACCCAATCCTAACCCCATTTCACCGACCCAATATACCCATCTCCTTAGTCTTCTGAAAGATAACCTACCTTCGTCACTTCCAACTTCGTCACTTTCTTCTCCGTCTACAGAATCACCATCACCGACCGTCGCGAGCTTCAGTGGTGAGTCACCGTCCTCTCTTCCTTCATCATGTTGGGTTCTCGACACAGGTGCGACACACCATGTGTCCTGTTTTTCAACTCTCTTTTTTCCTCAAAATCATCTTCTTTTTCCTCTTCTGTATGTCTCCCTAATGGTTTCTCCCTTCCTGTTTCTTTTATGGGCTCAGTATATTTTCTTCCTTCTATTTCTCTCATGCATGTTTTATTTGTTCCTTCTTTTTCTTTTAATCTTCTTTCTGTTGGTGCCCTAACTCGCGATTCTCCCATTGTTGCTCATTTTTCTCAATTTTTTTGTCATCTTCAAGATCGTATCACGGGCAAGATGATTGGGATTGCTAGTAGATCAGGGAATCTTTATATTTTAAATACTGCTGTACCATTCCCCTCCGTGCATGTTCCCCCTCCCCGTTCACTTGTTAATTCGGTTGTTCATTGTGATACTTGGCATTCCCGTTTGGGGCATTTGTCTCATTCTGTTTTACATTCAATGAAAAATGTTTTGCATTTTACTGGATGTTCTGATTTTAATTCTCCTTGTGTTGTCTGTCCGATTGCTAAACAGCGACGTTTACCATTTATTTTAAATCCAAAAATTTCTTCTCATGCCTTTGACTTGATCCACTGTGATATTTGGGGACCATTCATCCCTATCTCTGTTACGGGTGCAAAATATTTTTTAACCCTTGTTGATGATGCCACTCGATTCACTTGGGTTTACATGCTTGAACAGAAATCTGATTTTGCTACTGTGTTTCCTCAATTTTTCACACTGATGCTCAATCAGTACCAGTCTTCCATTAAAGCCATTCGTTGTGATAATGCACCAGAGTTGTCTCTCACCTCTTTTTTCTCATCCAAAGGTATTCAGGTATTTCATTCCTGCGTTGATCGCCCACAACAGAATTCTGTTGTTGAGCGAAAACATCAACATATTTTAAATGTTGCTCGTGCTTTACATTTTCAATCTAATGTTCCAATTGCTTACTGGTCTGAATGTGTTCTCACTGCAGTATATTTGATCAACAGAACTCCTTCTCCTCTTCTACATGGTAAGACTCTTTTTGAGCTTCTTTCTCACAAATCTCCTACTTATTCACATTTACGTGTTTTTGGTTGTCTCTGTTTCAGTTCCACTCTACCTAAGCATCGTCACAAATTCTCCCCTCGGTCTCTGCCTTGTGTCTTCCTTGGTTATCCTCCTGGCTATAAGGCATACAAATTGCTTGACATTGAGTCCAATCGAATTTTCATTTCAAGAGATGTCATATTTCATGAAACTGTTTTTCCCTTCACTAAATCCCCTCCTGCATTACCTCCTCTGGTTTCAATTCCAACTAAATCTCTCACCACTGCTGCTCCATCGTCATCAACTCCTTCCTCCCGTATCAGAAAACCCCCACCCCACTTCACAGATTATGTTTGCCAAGCTTCTACCAAGTATCCTATCTCCTCTCACATTTCTTATGATAAACTTTCCCCAAATCACAAAGCCTTCATCAATGCTGTCTCCACCCATTATGAACCTTCCTCTTTTTCTGAAGCCTCCCAACTCCCTGAATGGCGTGCTGCCATGGCTGCTGAAATTGATGCTTTGGAACAAAACAGAACTTGGAGAATTGTATCCCTACCCACCGGCAAGCATCCAGTCGGTTGTAAATGGGTCTACCGTGTTAAACTTCGCTCGGATGGTTCCCTTAAACGTTACAAGGCACGGTTAGTTGCCCAAGGCTACTCACAGCAAGAAGGTATCGATTTTAATGAGACTTTTTCCCCTGTGGCCAAAATCACCACTGTCCGAACCTTACTTGCTCTTGTTGCCATCTTCAACTGGCATTTAATTCAATTGGATGTTAACAACGCCTTTCTTCATGGAGAATTGAATGAAGAAGTTTACATGCGTCTTCCTCCTGGATATGCTTCACAGGGGGAGTCTCTGCCTCCTAATGCTGTCTGTCACTTAACAAAATCCATTTATGGATTGAAACAAGCCTCCCGACAATGGTTTTCCAAATTTTCTTCAACTCTTCTTTCTCTTGGTTTTTCTCAATCCCATGCTGACCACTCTTTATTTACCCGCAGCTCACCTGACTGTTTCATGGCCATTTTAGTTTATGTTGATGATATTATTGTGGCTTCTAACAATTTTCCTGTTGTGCAGCATTTAACTGAGAGTTTAAATAATTCCTTTAAGCTCAAAAATCTTGGTCCTCTAAAATATTTTTTAGGACTTGAAGTTGCAAGATCATCTACTGGCATCTTCTTGTGTCAACGCCAGTACACCATTTCTCTTCTTCAAGATTCTGGCCACATTGGTTGTAAGCCTCGTTCCACACCTATGGAACCTAATCTTCATTTATCAGCATCTGAAGGTTCTCTTTTGGATGACCCTACTGCATACAGAAGGCTGATTGGTCGCCTTCTTTATCTGACAATAACCAGGCCGGATATATGCTTTGCAGTCAATCATTTAAGTCAATTTATGTCTGCTCCTCGCCAGCCTCATCTTCTAGCTGCTCAACGCATATTTGGATATCTCAAATCTACTGCTGGGCAGGGAATATTTTTTTCTTCCAAATCCTCCCTGCGGCTGCATGCTTTTTGTGACTCAGACTGGGCTTCTTGCCCGGACAGCCGCAGATCAGTCTCCGGTTTCTGCGTATTTCTTGGCCAATCTCTCATTTCTTGGAAGTCTAAGAAACAAAGCACCATTGCTCGTTCATCAGCTGAGGCCGAGTATCGTTCCATGGCTAATGTAACTTGTGAATTATTATGGCTCTTCTCCTTGCTGACTGATTTACAGGTTCCAAATTCAGCCCCTGCTCATCTTTTTTGTGACAACCAAGTCGCTCTCCATATTGCAGCCAATCCTGTTTTTCATGAACGGACAAAGCATATTGAAATTGATTGCCACATCGTTCGCGATCAGCTCACTCACGGACGTCTACTCACCTTTCCGGTTCCTAGCTCTCAACAACTTGCAGATTTGATGACCAAGGCTCTTCACCCTGCTCCATTGTCTAATTTGTTGTCCAAGATGGGTGTTCTTAACATTCACTCTCCATCTTGAGGGGGAGTGTTAAATATATTGTATTTTTCAATTTTTATTTTAGTTATTTTAGCTGATAATATTTAGTGCCAGATCATATCAGAGTTTGTTACAACAGCTTTGCATTTTGGCCTTGCACCACGTATATTCCTTTTTGTAGTTTTTGCTGGCATCAGGTGGTTATGACACCTTGCACTTTTCTGTTTCAGATCTTGTATATAAATCAGCACTGTTCATAGCTGATGATTAATAGAGTATGAATGAATTTTACCTTTTCTTAGATTCTCTGTATCAGTTGTATTAAGCAGCTTCTTTGGAAGTTTATCCAGAGGAATCGATTTTAAAAGAAAAAGCCTGGCAGCAAAGAACCTGATAAGATCAAAGCAATGGGAAATCCATCAAAATCCAGAGGCTAATTAAATGGAATGGTTATTACTTGATTAGTAGATCGACTTGGTTTATATATGAAGCTAATTACTTGTATTTTCACGTATGTATAAAACTGAAAGTTTTACACAAAACATTAAATTCAAGAGGTTTGAAAAAAATTACTTCCAAACATGGGACGTAGTTAATCATGCCTTTGGAATGACATTTACAAAACCAACCTATGAAGGCACCTTAGCTGCCTATATTACAGGGCTCTCTTTTAGTTGGAGGTCATGAAGTTTGTATGCAATGCATGTAGACGAGCCAACCGAAAACTCTTGCACAAACCTCTATTCTATATATATTATATTTGGTCCTAAACTAATAGCAGTTAAGTATTTATTCATAATTCTCAAACGTTTTACTTCATTAACAATGAAAATGCCAAGGGCAGCAACCATTGCTGGGCTTCTATCCATTGTTATTCTCATTTTAAGATGTGAAGCTATGGTTTCAATCTCATGCCCCAAAGTTATTAAGGAGGTCTTACCTTGCAGTAGTTTCCTGCAGCAAAGCAGCTCTAAACAGCCTTCTAAGGCTTGTTGCAATGGCATCAAGAAACTGAGTGGTGATGCTGGAAACAAAAAGGATCGAATAGCTATATGCCAATGCCTCAAGCAAGGATTGGCAAAGATTGGAAAATATGATCCTAAACGTTTAGCCCAACTTCCCAAAGATTGTGGCCTGCCTTTTACACTTCCTCCTATTGACCAGAAAACTGATTGCTCCAAGAGTATTGTAAGACTATTCTTAGGTCTCTTTTAAATTCAATTTAACTTCTTACTCCAACTTTTAGAAATTGGATAATGATGATAATTATTTCTTTTTTCTGGTCATGCAGTATCATCTTTATGATTAAGGAATGTTAATCCTGCTTGGAATATTCACTTGTGGGGTGCTTCTACCAGGAGCTTGACCAGGAAAAGTGACAAGGACTTAGAAAAATAAATTCCCAACCAGGGTTGTTCTGAGGTTCCTGTCTCCTTAGAACTCAAGGATACAGAGGTACGAGCCTATAGAACAGATCCTGTTCAAGTAAGGTCGTCAACCAGGGTTGTTCTAGTTAGCCATGAATATGTAAAATATCTTATATATATGAAACCTCTCTTGCAAATATATATGAAAAATATATTTCTCTTCAATTTTTTTATCCAAATTTCTATTTCTTCTTTCTTTAAGTTTCTTTCATTTATTTATCTGGTAATGTGCCATAAAGTAGTGCTTCATAAAAATTAATAGAGTAAGCTTGATCATTTACGTTATACAACCCAGTATCAATGGTTCAGAGCTGTTTTGTGTATATACGTAACAAGTTGAAGTTGGTGCCTTGGACGTGGCCTCGAAATTTGACAGGGTTACTTTCGAATGATTGTTGAAAACTTCACATTCTGCAAAAAGCAGCTAGTAGTGAGTGGTGCATGGTCAACTGATCTGTCAATTCTTGAATAAACTATTCTGGATTAATTCTCCACCCAATCGGTGCTGTTAGTGACTTCTTAATTAATATTTAATTATCTGTATAAAGTATAGGATAGTAATAGTGTAGGCATCAATAAATAAGGATATCCTAATACCTCTTAATTCTTGTGTTGTGAATACACGGAAGCAGTGTTTTGAAATTTTATTCGGTTATTGATTCGGTTAAAGTATTGAGTTATTGGTTCAATCGGTTAATTAAATTTATATTAAATTATATAATAAATATGAGATAGAATATTGTTACTATCAATTAGTGTTATTATGTTAAACTATATTCTTTTGAGATACTATGTTACGTGTTTATTTTGAGGTCATGATGTATGACCGTTTCATCGTGTATATAGCCTGTATATATTTTGAGAGATTGTTCTGTCATTACTTATGTATATTCGATGGTCAGGCACATATGTACATATGTATTTAGTCAGTTGCATGTGTACGCTTTATGTAAATGATTAGATATGTAGTGGCATGGAGCCAATTATATGTGCCTATGGATGGTCTCAGGTTTGATGGATATTTTATATCTATATATGTATACTGGATTGTTTTGTATATCAGGAATTGATTAACAAGAGGGATTCAGTCTTGGGATTTGTCCAGTTTACAGCTACTATGCTGTCTGATAGTAAAATTAATTCGGAAAAGATTATGCTATACAATACATCAGGCGAAAAGAAAAAAGGAAAAAGTTAACTCATAGAATTATGCAAGTTAAAAGTAAAATTTAAATTAAGTCTTTTGCTTATGCATGTTTAATTATGTTGCGCTTTAGTACCATATGTATGTTAATGAACCGACTCAAGACGAGGATGTTACAACAAGCATATAGAACTCCTGCTATAACTTCAAATATGCCATAATAAAAAATTATGATTATCTGTAAAAACATTGTGTAAGTAATAACAAATTAAAAATTATGAGGAAAATTGAGTGGGACATAAAAATTACAATGTTATTCTGAGGCTTTCCCCAATAAAATCCTTGGAGGAAAATTGGGAAAACGTTGCAAGCCGCAAGGATATAAATCATTAGTGCATGCATGCCCATCCATTCCATAACCATAGTCATGCGACTATATCCACATACATCAACCTGCAAGGAAAAAAGAAGAAAAAGAATTCATCGAGAAGATGATTAAAGAATGGTGCTAACTTGAGCAAATTCAATGAGAATTAAAAATGAATGAGTATGAAAAGAAGGAAACTCGGCCCATTTAGACCAATACCGGTATATAGAGCTAGATAACTTTATGCTACATGTTGCAAAAGTAGATGATAAAAGTGAAAGAGAATAGTTAGAAAGTTCTTTCTAAAGCAAGAAATTAAATCTCTCAACCATCAAGTAGCGACAAAGAAGAGAGAACCTTGTTTATATGCATTCCTACAAGAAGAGCTACGTTAATATCTACAAAGGAATAGAAATGTCAACAGCACAATGGTCACATGTAAGACATAGGTAAAGACAATGCTTCCCAAATAAGTCCAAGGCAATTACCAACAACTAAAAGACAAGAGGTTGGGATCATCCAGTATATGATTCTAACTCTGTGATCCTGCATGCAGCAATAAGGAAACAACTTCGATACTTGTAACCAAATGAGGAAAGAGATAATAAATAAGAAAATGTGAGAATTACCTTAAAATGGACAATAACATGTTCGTAGTGTGAGCCAATCAAGCAGGTAACAACAGCCATTACTGAACTACAATTCCACAAGTGACACAAAATTAAGGACAACAAGAAAAAGCAATCATTGAAAATGACATTCTAAAAGAGAAAGATGACAAAGTGTACTCACCTTAAGAGTCCTTGAGGATCAAATGGGGCCTGACACCAAGCAGGAGTATCAGGAGGCAATGTTCCATAGTTAGGTGTTGATAGTTATAAAAGGAAACATAATTATAAAAAGGAAGAGCAACAAGAACTAAAAACTGAGTCAGAACATCTCTCAAAACACAAATTGGGATGGTAAATTAAAAGCCAGAAAAAATCCCAAGAATCTCTCCCTCAATATTCCTTCATTAACCATTAGAAAAGAACCAATAAAGCGAGTGCTGAGCAATAACATAAAGCCTCATATCATAGTCCCTAACCTTTGTTATCATTTTTGTACTACCATTCAATCCAAATTCATGGGAAGGAAGGAAAGAAGAAAGACCAAGAAGCCAGCAGATACAACGTCGTTTGGTTCTTCCCAAAATTACTATTAATAAATGCTAATTAACATAACAGAGCTAACAGCTAACAAAATATCCATTCCATTTATTTGACAAAATAATTAAAAAATAGAGAGAGAATAAAAAAAAGGAAAACACACAGAGAGATTCTGCTGTGAGTGACTCATTAGATAGCATGGCTCGTGGTTAATCATGCCTTTGGAATGACATTGACAAAACCAACCTAGGAAGGCACCTTAGTTGCCAATACTATAGGGCTCTCATTAGTTGGAAGTCATGAAGATTGCATGCATGCAATGCAAGTAGACCGAGCCAACCAAACTATTGCACAAACCTCTATATATATTAATTATATTTGGTCCTCAATTAATAGCAGTCAAGTAACTAATCATAGTTCTTAAGCGGGTTGGTTACTTCATTAACAATGAAAATGCCAAGAGCTGCAACCATTCATCGCCTAGCTTGGCTTCTATCCATTGTTATTCTCCTTTTAAGCTCTGAAGCTACTGATGTTTCAATCTCATGCCCCACAGTTTTTGGGGAGCTCGCACCTTGCACTACTTTTCTGCAGCAAAACAGCCCTAAGATGCCTTCTCAGGCTTGTTGCAGTGGCGTCAAGAAACTGAGTGGCGAGGCTACAACTAAAAAAGATCTAACAGCTATATGCCAGTGCCTCAAGCAAGGATTGGCCACCATTGGAAAGTATGATCCTAATCGTATACCCCAACTTACCAAAGATTGTGGCGTTTCTCTTACATTTCCTCCTATTGACCAGAACACTGATTGCACCAAGAGTAAGACTATTCTTAGTTCTCTTTAAATTCAATTTGAATTCTAACTGCAACTTAGAAATTGGATAATGATTAATATTATTTCTTTTTTCTCGTCATGCAGTAACCTTTATGATTTAGGACTGTTAGTCCTGCTTGGAATGTTTACTTGTCGGGTGCTGCAACTAGAAGCGTGACAAGGAATTGGAAAAATAAATTGCCAACTAGGGTTGCACTAGTCAGCCATGAATAAATAAAAATATCTTTTAAATATATGAAAAATATATTTCTCTTTCATTTTCTTCTCCAAATTTCAATTCCTTCTTTCTTTTAAGTTTCTTCTTTTTTTCTTTTTTTTTGGTAACGAGCCATAAAGTAGATATAAATAAAAATTAACCAACAGGTATCTGCTAATTAAAGTGGATATGATTAAACACAAATATCCAGAATTGTCTAATAAGGATAAAATTTTGTGCTATAAATAAGACTACTCTACAGGAAATTCATTCTTCAGCTGCTCCCCCTTCAGCATGAATATACTTGTCTTATAGAACCAGCATAGTGTAAACGTTCAAAATTAGTAAATTTTCATAGTGAACTCTTGCTAGTACATATCCACAAATGGTTATTGAAGGAATTCTTAAGCAACACTCTCAAGTTACATATGCACACACAACTGTCATGGAGTATGGGTATGTTAACCATGCTCCCATTTGCGAGTTTAGTTTCTATCTAAAATTAAACTCGCATTAAATTGCTTAAAACGACCACTCCCCTAGTGTTTCTGAGCAGTGAAGTCTGGCTCAGCTGGCTTTGGTGGCAACAGAGGTAGGAGTCTCGGTGACATTCTGTTGCGTGTGCTATTTTCTCTCAAGGTTCGTAATGCATTGGCAGCAAACCTTGATGCATATATGGTTGCACCAAGGCTTAGAGAGGATCCATCCTCATTTACAAAAGCATCTTGTAGCTTGTCTTCTGCTTCACGTAATGACCTCTCAATCTTCTTTTTCCAGTATCGACGCCAAGCTGCTTGTATGAAACATGCAGCCCATGTCTTCCATTGGGAGGAATAGAACCTGAATAAACAAATTGCTGAATCAGGCTATGAAACTTTTTTTTTCCTTCTAATTTTAAGAGACAATTGATTCTAAGATCTTTACCATAACCCCATATATATGTCCCCATGCATTTGTGATACGCTCTAGTGCTTTTATGAAGAATGACTACTACTATAATATTGGTCCTCACATAGTTTTTATAACGCTTTTATTTGCTAATATATATAAGTTTTTAATCAAAGGAAAAAAGTATATAATGTTACTTTAGAAACGACTCGTTTTGGAATTGAAAAATAAAAAAATTAGAATGATAAAGACTATTACAACCCGAAATAAAACAACGTCGTTTCGGTGAACATTAGACAAAGTTATCTAAAGTAACTCTAGAAAAAACGAACTCATAATTAAAATGAGTTTGATGGGACTATATTAGCAAATTACTCTGAGAGTAAGAACCTAAACAAAATTTATGGTTTTGAATTATATCTGTACCTTGTTTCCTGTTTCCACAAAATGTAATGATGCATCATCAAAGATAAAAAAAGAAAAAGAAAAGAAAAAGAAATTAACAATGATATCAAGCCTTACCTGAAAGTGTGCTGGAGCTGTTTGCTGTGAAGACGTCGAAATTGGGAAGCAACAAACTTCAAGTCATCAGCCATGAGAGCAAAGGCTTCAACTTCTGATATAGTTTCTACTGTTCTAGTTGAAGTGGGTAGATTTGAGGAGGAGTTGGGATCCAAAGCCCATGTTAGAAGCTCCTCTCCACAGAAGTCACCAGCCTCGAGAAATAAGGAGTTGAAGAAACCAGTTCTTCCACCATTTGTTGTCATAGTAGCAACTTTTCCACGCATAATGAAAAGCATCTCATCAACTGGATCTCCTTCACGAACAATGTAGCTCTTCTCCGTATAAAGTACTGGCTTCAGTCTATCACACAACGCATCCAACAACTGCTCATCCATTTTCTCAAACAATGGCACCTAGAGCAACAATAAGAACATAAAATGTTCATATTAAACATGTAACATGCACATTATAGGTAGATAAAAAATAATTAGATGATTATGGATGATACACACTTTTTTAAGTAAAGCTAAGCAAAGATGACGCTTTATGTCCCTTCTGAGATCTTTAGGGAGGTTACGAATCAATGTCTCCTCCTCAACACCCCTATTTTCTTGCCATTTGTATTGTTCATACCGTCTGATTCTTTCCTTCAAGTTCTCTGGTAGCATACGGTGGGACATCCATCGTTCTGCGTCCCTCCTCTTCACTCTCATCTCTTCAACTCTAACTGTTGTAGATTGCAGATATTTCTGCAACAATTAATATTCAACACAACCCATATGGGTATCAACACACAAATATATGCAAAACACCAATTATTAATACAAAAAAAAAAACACCAATTATGTCTATGATCTAATATAGTCCTGACCAAGATTACTTACCTGCATATTTCCAATAAGTAATGAGAACAAAACCAATCCAAAGATGGCAATGAAGATTGCAAAGATTATCTCCGCGACATAAGTACTTGTCTTGAGGTTTTGTCCAAGAGAACTGCAAAAGATGACAAAATTTATTACCTTTGGCATGCTTTTAGCCTCCATCTTCTAATAAATTTGTTGATAAGATGTTACAAACACAAATAAATCCATATAAAATTTGGGTCGAAATTAAGATAAGGATATAAAAGTTGAATAGTTCATAAAATGTGCATGTTGCATATGAAGACAAGGACACAGGAGATTATTCACCAACCTTAAATTACGCAATCCCCACCAAAAGCAGTAGAAGAACTTCTGCGGAAAATCTGTTGTTGATTCTACCACACGTGAGTCTAGAGCATCGAAATATATTCCAAAATTGAAGACGTTTGGGTCTTGGATTTGATCAGGGTCAATGAAAGAGCAAGTACTATTGAGAAGTGATATGACATTTTGATTGCCGTGTTCACAGCCCAAGTATGATTCATGAAAGAGGGAAGCATTCTTCAACTCTCGGCTCCAGCACCGCACCTCTGATTCTACTGAAAGCAGATACCAGCTGGATCCAACAATCTGATAAATATAATTGTTAAAGATATATAAAAAGCATTAAAAAGACCTTCACTTAAAAGCTTAAGTTTTTGGGTTGAAATGATTTTTTATATGATATCATAGTCTCAGTGTCACGGGTTCGATTATTATCGCCCCCCATTTAATTAATAATTAATTAATTCTTGTGGAGTTTCTTATCACGTGGACCTGTGCATTATCCAGCCCTCAAGCCCAGTAGACTCTCATGTCACGAGGTGAGTTGAAGGTATATAAAAAATCATTAAAAAGACCTTCACTTAATAGTTTAAGCTTTTGAGTTGAATTGTTTCTTTACAATAATAATCATCATAAAACTTAGCATGATAACTATGAACATAGATAAGTGTATCTGAATAAGTAATAAAATCAGCTTACATGACTTGCTAGCATATAGAGAAAAAGATTATAAGCAGCTCCAGCCCATGCTGTCTCAGTCAATATGCCAGAAGTTCTAGTTACTTCTTTGAATAGTGGATAGATCCGCACAAGTCTTGGCACATACTGGATTAATACTATATACTTCAACAAATCCTTTGCTACGAATGGAAGTGAGGTTTTCAGGCTTGGGACAATAGCTAAAACAACCACCTGAAGTGTTAAAAACAACATCAAACTATGTCTTTCACATCAAACTGAACTGAAAATCAATTGACTGCTATATGTGTATCCATTAACACTCGCCATTTGACTGCTAATGATGTATAAAAGTTTTTTTTTTAAAAAAAAGAGTTAAGAATGATTTGAAGAGGGAGATACCTGTGGAAGTGGAATAATTGATAGAATGTCAATGATGAAGTACGAACATAAGTATCTTTTCATTATAGCCACAGGATCATCAATAAGCTCACCCCTTCCAAAAACACGAGAAGAAGGAGGAAAAAACCCTGTTCGAAACTGAAAGATTATGTGAAGAATGTAGAAAAGATCAAAGAACGTGCGAAGAACACTAGCTGTAATCTGCAATGTTCCATCCAGATCAAGACACTTGAGATTTTCATTGATCACTGGAGTGTAGAAGAACAGCGGGTCCACAGAGACTGCCATCACACATGTGATTACAAAGATTTTGTTCCATTTCTGAAGGACTGGCCCTTGTGGATCAAGAATTTTGGACTTAGAAGCCAGCTTTTTGGTTTGTCCATCGCTTACAGGATGAACAGCTGAAGGTCTTCTCAAGTTCTTGATCTTCTCTGAACCACTCTCGATTCTTCTTCTTATACTCTTTAAAACAGAACTTGCACTTGGTCTACCTTTTCTTTTCTGATATCCATTGTTAACCGAACCTTCCTGCTCTGTACTAAAAGATGCCTCTGATCTCCAGTCCTCAAACCTGGATGGAGAGAAATATAAACTTAGCATCTATCAGATATATGTGAGCATCAATGGAACACCTCAATGGTTGACTACTACATACTCCAAAATCAAAATGATATCATAATCAAAGCTCATTACTAGAAGAAGCTAGAGTTAGAGTGGTGTTTTTTGGGAAAGTTATTTGGCTTAAATTTACCAAAATCTGTTAATGGAGTGAGAACTTGAAAAAAATGGAGAACACTAAACACATAGAGCAGCTGGTAATCTTGTCATTAATTTAAAATTCGTGATTACCCAACTTGGAAAACTAAGCATAGTATTTACTGTTCGAGTATTACCACCTCAACCATAATTGCAGTATGGTAATTTGGATAATTAACTTCGCAATTTGATGTCAATCTATCATGCTTTACAAAAATGGAGCTTTTCACTTGTTTAAATTTCATTATTTTTTGATACAAGTCAGTAAAGCCCTTTTTGAATGCAGGAAGCAAATAACTGTGGCACCATATGCGGTTCTAAATGTGTGCATAAAGAATACTATAAGTAAGACAATAGAAATATGTAGCAACGCCAGGATTGAGCAAACAAACCTCACAAATTTAGGTCCCTTTGCACTCATGATTCAACAGAAAACTCAAGCCTGCAAAAGCCAACGTCAAATTAAAACTTATTTTCCTCTCAAAGTTAACGTAGTGCGGAACGTAACCAGAAAATAAAAGGGTAGGTGATTTATTTAACTATAATATAAGTTAGGATTACAAAAATATAGCCATCAACAACTTGGATATTTAAATTCAAGTCAAGTCAATCTCCAACCAAAGTCAAGTACGCACCACACCAACCCACCTCAACCAGGGACAGAAATGAATTTGTAAATAACCATGAGACACGGCAATTTTTTAAGAGAGAAGAAGAAGAAGAAGGGACTTGAACCATACGAAACAACTTGCAAAAAGTAGAAAGGTCGTGAAGAAGAAATTGCAGAGAGTAAAAGGAAAAGGAAACACCAACCTTAAATATGCAAAGACTGTTACATAAGTGTAAAAGGGTTATATATGTTTGCCAAGCCAAGTCTTGAAGTTGCCCTTCTCTATTACATGCAGTCTTTGTAGCCCAGTTTGTTCCTGAAGCTTCGAGGGAGCTTTTGCTGGCTTAACAGTTCACAGAGAGAGAGAGAGATATTGATGGCTATCTTGTTATTGCAACAATGACAGAAACAAAACAGAGAAATAACAAGGAAATAGACTGAGTCTACGCTGTAAGAAGAGTCAAGTCAGCACAACAGATCATGCAGTACGAAACCAAAATAGTTTCTATGTTCAATTATATTATATTAGGGATTGTCTTTTCTCATGTTGCATAGGAGAAGAGCTATCTCCTACACACACATAGAGAAGAGAGAGGAGAGAGAATAAGGAAGAAAAAAAAATTTAAAATGGATTCCACGTTTACTTTGTGTCTTGTGCATAAGATAACAATCTTATGTAACATAAGATTATTATTTCCCATTATATTATATTATATATATTAATTACCATTAGACTTTTATCTCTGAATGTACGAACCTCGGAAAATTCAGATACGGAAATACTAGACTTTAATAATGAAACATTCGTCACAAGAATAACGATTTGAAAAAGATGTTTACATTTCTTATTTAACATGACATAATAATTTTTTTTACACATAATATTTTGTAGAGTTCACACTTTTTGAAGAAAAAATAAATAAAAAATTACGGCACGCAAAATGAATCTCTATAACATTACACAATTACTTTTTTTATAACATAACTCTTATAAAACCCATTTCAAAAAGCTGTATTATTTTATTTTTGGTAATGTGTATTAACCGTTTGCTTATTATTTTAATAATTGCTTTTGTTTGAAATTTTGTTCGCTAAAGTGTCGGCGACTTATGACTATATATTTTTTTTTATTTTTCACTGAGGTTCAATTGAAAGTAAGATTTCAAATACCGAAATAGCTAGGTTAGCTATGTTGCACCGACACTGATACAGGACACGAGATACGATATGACATTCTGACACATTAATTTTAAAAAGTATTAAATTTTGACACGTTAGGACACGTTTTGATATTATATAATATTTTTAATTTATGTAGTGTATATTATATTTAATATTTAATAATTTAAAAAAAAATAAAGCTAAACTTATAATATCATCAATTTTGCAAAGAAACATAAGATATCTCAAATGTTTATATTAAACTCAATAAAATAGTAATCGTAATCTAACGAATATAATAGTTGGAACTCAAAATGCAACGCAACGTAACCTTTGAACTTTTTTTGAGTCTTTGCAACGAGTATTGGAGTGTCGGAAAGTGTCAGAGTGTCGGTGAGTGTCAGAAAATGTCGGACACGATACGTCAGGGATTTTGAAGTATGGTGCTTCATAGTAGGTTACCCATTTAGTATTTTTTTACAATGAATTTTAATATTTAATAGCAAAATATTTAATAAATATTTAAATTAATAATTTAAAATACTTGTAATTAAAATTTTTAAACAATAATATTTTTTCAAAATTTATTGTAAATTAAATTAATTTAAATACATTTGTAATTTATAAAATAAAAAAAGACGTAAATTTTAAATCTAATAACTATATAACTTACTTTTATTTTATTTTATTGTAATAAAAATTTTAACTTTAAATATATAAATTTTTTATAAAAATTATTTTATTTTAATTTTTCATTTTAAAAAACTAAAAAGGATTAATAATTTCTGCAATGCTATTGATATGAAATTTTTATATACAAAAGTTATCACGAATGACTAATAAACATGTTTGATCAGAAAAAAAGGTCAAGAAGTACCAAAAAAAGGTTAAGAAGTACAAAAACAAAAAACAAAAAAACCTAACCAAATTCAACAAATATTTCTTGTTTTAAAATTTTAGTATTTCTAATGGGGCAATACAACTTTAGAGATGTTATGTTCAGCGAGCAACGATATAGAGATATACCTGTTATTGAAAACTATTTATTAATCTACTTCTCTTTAATCGATTAAGTTAAAGATTTAATCGATTAAATAGTCAAAATTGACAAAAATCGTTGACTCGAAGATTTAATCAATTAAATCTTCAATTTAATCGATTAAATCTTGAAAAATCGTTGACTTGAGTATAAAGTGATTTTGACGCTTTCAAAGCTAAGAGAAATGTTTCTGAAAGTTACTTTGGATGTTGATCTTAAATGTTATAATACTGGCACGCGTTTATAAGGCTTTGTAAATTGTCCCATTGACTTGTAAAAATTGATTGATGGAGAAACTAGCTTGAATATGGACCTTATCTTTTTCAGGGATGAATATTGCATAATATGCTTTCCTTTGTTGAAGATTTAATCGATTAAGTTGAAGATTTAATCAATTAAGTTGAAGATTTAATCGATTAAATCTTCAAGTCAATGATTTTTGTCAATTTTAACCATTTAATTGATTAAATATGCACGTTAATCGATTAAAGAAAGATTAATAAATAATTTTCAATAAGGGACAAAAGGTTATTAATTAATTAATAAAGGACAAAAAGGTCAAAAAGCTCATATACACGTCTGTTAAATGTCCATAATAATCATGAACTGGGGGGAACATAAAATTACGCTCCACCAATGTTTGCCACAAGCACAAACATGCATGGGCGATATTCCTTCATAATTTTCCACCCCTATTATATAGCTAGTGACACAGAAACAAGAGTTTTTATGATATAAAAACCTCCTGTACCTTACTAAAGACAAGAAATTGCAGTTACACTTCATCTCCAACAAAGTAAAATTATTCTGCATCGTCACTAACTGTAATGTGAAACTCTCTAGTAGAATCACATCAACCTTCACGTTGACAAGGATCCAACCAATACATATCCAAATGCATCAATTTCATCCTAAACAGTCCCCAACTTTCCCAAATAGCAGTTTTCTCAAAAGAATTAAAAAGATTACAACTACAGTTAGCAAATGACATTTTCTATCTTCATGCTGATGATATTATACATCAGGTTGCCTACACTTTAACAGTAAGCTTGTATGCCGAGCATTTATTAATCCTAATTTTACCTAAACTAACAATTTTAAGGTGAAACATAACATGCCTCAACTTCATTTAAGATCTCTCTCCTCGTCTGACTGAGACCCTGGGGGCTCTGTATTAACAAAGAAGTCATCCACTGAAATAAAAACAAAGGTATCTTTGTTACTATCAAACTTGAACCTTTAACTATAGAAACTAAGAAGTAATACCAGAAACCAGGTGCTACCAGAATTGCCAACTTAAATAACAACAATCCATCAAAATTTGCAAGTTGAAATGCAGTCAGTCCAATATCTTAACTTTTATTTATAAAAAAAATTGCTATATAACCATTTGTATGCGGTTACATTTAGTTTTACAAATTGAATTTTATGCCACATGTCTAAATTGATGAGAATGGGTATGACTTTTATGCCACCCGAGGATGCTTTACCTTGAACATTGAACCTTTTGTTAGCTCATTTATTGGTGCAAAAAATAATTAAAAGCATGCAATCAGTCAGCACCAAGGCACTCACACTGCTTCTCCCCAAGGACCACCCATGGGAGGAGACATTTTGAACAAAAGAAGATAAACTAACAAAAGGAGACATTTAGATTGGCGAGAAAAAATGCAAAGAAAGCAGTGCGAGAAGCGAGAGGCAAGGTTTTCGACGAGTTGTATAAAAGTCTTGGGAGCAAGGATGGTGAAAGAGGTATTTATAAACTTGCAAGGATAAGGGATAAGAAAAGTAAAGACCTCACTCAAGTTAGATGCATCAAGGATGAAAATCAAAAACTTCTGGTGAGAGATGAAGATGTAAATGAAAGATGGTTGAAATACTTCAACAAGCTGTTTAATGGGGATGGAAATACAAGCGAGGTGGACTTAGAGGACGCGTATGATGATATGAATAGAAGATTTGTACGCAGAATTAATACACATGAAGTTAAGGAGGCTTTAAAGAGGATGAAGACTAATAAAGCCTTGGGGCCTGATGGTGTCCCTATTGAAGTGTGGAGAGGCCTGGGGGATGTGGCAATAAAATGGTTGACCAATCTTTTTAATAAGATTCTCCAGACGAATAAGATGCCTGATGTATGGAGGAAAAGTATGATTGTGCCTATCTACAAAAACAAGGGAGATATACAGAATTGTTCAAACTATAGAGGCATTAAGCTAATAAGTCATACTATGAAGCTGTGGGAGAGGGTTATTGAACATCGCTTGAGGAGAGATACCAAGGTTTCTGTAAATCAATTTGGATTTATGCCAGGAAGATGTACCATGGAAGCCATTTTCTTGATGCGACAACTAATGGAAAGATACCGAGAAAAGAAGAAGGACTTGCATATGGTGTTCATAGACCTTGAGAAAGCATACGATAGGGTTCCAAGGAAAGTTTTATGGTGGGTCCTGGAGAAGAAAAAGGTTCCATTAAAGTATGTAAAGGCAATCAAGGATATGTATGATGGGGCTACTACATGTGTAAAAGCTTGTAACGGATCATCAAGTTATTTTCCTATCACGGTAGGTGTACACCAAGGGTCGGCTCTAAGTCCTTACCTATTTGCCTTAGTTATGGATGAACTAACAAAAGATATTCAAGAGGAAGTGCCATGGTGTATGCTTTTTGCAGACGATATTGTGCTTATTGATGAGAGCAAGGAGGGTGTTAATAGAAAACTTGAATTGTGGAGAAGCACATTGGAATCCAGAGGATTCACATTAAGTCGAAGCAAGACTGAGTATCTGAAGTGTGAGTTTCTCTGGTACAAGATGAGGACCAAGAACCTGTGCATCTAAATGGTCAAGAGGTACCCAAAAAAAAATGCTTTTAAATACTTGGGCTCCATTTTACAAAATGGTGGAGAGATTGATGAGGATGTAAATCACAGAATCAGAGCAGGGTGGATGAAATGGCGTAGTGCATCTGCATTTTTGTGTGACCGCAAAATTCCCCTGAAGTTAAAAGGAAAATTCTATAAAACGGCAGTACGACCGGCAATGCTATATGGAGCGGAATGCTGGCCAGCACATAGGCAACATGAGCATAAGATGGGAGTAGCAGAGATGAGGATGTTAAGGTGGATGTGTGGGTACACAAGGATGGATAAGATAAGAAATGAAGATATTCGACGAAAGGTCGGAGTAGTACCGGTAGCCGAAAAGATGAGAGAACATAGATTGAGGTGGTTTGGGCACGTGATGAGAAGACCCATGGATGCTCCTGTAAGAACAGAAGTTTGTTACCAAGAGCTAAACATAAAAAGAGGCAGAGGTAGGCCGAAGCTTACTTGGGGGAAAGTAGTAAAACAAGATTTAATGGAGTGGGATATAGATTGGCGGACAGTATGTCTTAGAAAGGAATGGAGAAAAGCTATAAGTATGGTGGAGAGTTAGACTCGTTGTTATTCCTATGTTCCAGATGGTCCTTTTTTAGTCCTTTTCCCCTTCATTTCCCCCACTTCTTCTTGTCCCTTTCTTTTTTACTTTTATTTATTTATATATACATATATTTTTATTTCATTTTATTTTATTTTATTATTTTATTTGTGTATTTTTATTTATTTATTTATTTATTTATTTTTTATTTTTTATTTTTTATTTTTTTTTACTTTTTTTCAACCGTTTTGTATCTTTCATGTGGGTTCATCTACCACCGACCCCAATTAATTTGGGATAAAGGTGTTGTTGATGTTGATGTTGATGAAGATAACTACCTAAAGTTTTTACATAATTAATTAAATGTATTCTAGCTCTGATATTTTAATTTCTATCTTACTTAAATTGTTTAAATTTCTGTCTCTCCTAAGTTTTCCAATTCTCCATGGTTTTGCATACTCACCTATTTTAACCTAAATCTTCAGGCTTTGATTTATTTGTAATGTATTTCACATTCAAGTTTTGTATTTTGATTTATTTAATATGTTCGCCTCTTTTAACCAGGTTTTATAGAAGTTTACAGTCTACGTCTAGGTTATAGATATCTTTAATGACTGTAAACCAGGCCGGTTTGAAGTCCCTGAAAATTGATTTTTAATGCAAGCTTGACATTACTCTTTGCCCCCGGAGTACCTTGGCACCTTCTACACTCAGCGTAAGTTCAGAATTTAGTTGATCCTATTGATTGACATCTAAATCTATTGTGGCCAATATTATTCACCAAACTTATTGAAATTTAAGATTAAAAATAAATATACAAAAGGAAAAATACATATAAGCACTCACCATTACCTATGTCCTTTTGATCTGAAGATTCAAGCAAAATATCTGAATCGGACTGCATAAATGGTGAACCAGGATAGTTCCCCAGAGCTCCGAGATCTGCAGAGAAAGATAATTCATAAACAAAGCATGACGATGTCCACAAAGGGTATATATTTACACACAAAATAAATTAAAGCAGAACCCAAAGGTCCCAGAAACTTCGTAAGTTTTAAATCTAAAACAATTTTACTCCCACATGTCCTTTGACTAGCTTAAACAATATATCCAAAAACGGATCTCAGAGTAAAAGAAAGAAATTACCTGCCAAGTTTGACAAATCCGCTGTTAGATCAGATAGACTAAAATTCCACTGAATTTGATCCAGTGATCTAGAAATGCCAGTGCCGTTATCTGGTGCAAGTTGCAGTCCTACAGAGTTTGCCACATCAGATGTAAATGCCGTATCAAGAACAGATGTATCTGTGCCCATTCCTGATATTTCAGACGTACTGAAGGGGAAATGGCCACTGGATGCTACTGATGCCGGACTCACTGGCATTTCTGATAAGGATGACATTGCACTATTTGGTGGAATAATAGGAGCAATACCGGGAGCACTGTGGTCCATCACCATACTTCAACAAGGATAAAAGCAGCTGCCATTATTCTATCAAGCAAATTACATAAAAAGAGGAAGGGCAGGAAGTTGCTCTACATGACACCAATTTAACTAACATTCAAGTAGCCACAACAATCCAAGCATAATGTGCGTAATGCAGAAACACCCAAAAGGGACACAATTGAGTGTTTGAGCCATTATAATTTTATCAACGGCCAACTCTCCTAAAAGCTTTAAGCTTTTATATCTTGAACATGTACCCTAATACAAGAGCGCTTTAGACTTGAAGTATGGACAATGTGCTGAAATTCAACTTTAATTAGAACTGTTGAATACTCCATGATAGAAACTCTCATACCATGTCAATTATCAAGTCTCTTTAAAAGCTCAAGTTGTTAGGTGAAGGTAAATGATTGTTTTTATATCTTCAATAAATTTAGATGGAGAATATCTTTTGCTGGATATTGTGTGGTAACCACTACAGATAAATCAAATGCCTGCCAAGACAATGGTCACTTTAGCAAACACATAGAAAAACATTATCCGTCAAGCCACTTAAGAGTTCATTGACAAAACCAGTTGTAACTTATGAACACAGCAGCCATTAAATATTTCACTATTTTAGACAAACTGAAATACAAATGCCGCCAATGGGTAAGGCCATTGGGAAAACCCATGGATAAAGGAGAAGACCTTACTTATACTCTTGTCCAACGAATGATAAAAAAGAAAGAAGCATGTGGAATTGGATAAGTTCTCACCCATTCCCAGAATTCGTCCGAATGGGATGAAAGTTGCTGGGTGCTGGGACTCCATTAACCACATGACAGCTTGATATGCCACCGCCCATGGCTGCTGGAATGGAATGCTGCTGTAGCACTGGGTATCCCATAGGTAGGTTGTTGACTGCACTGCAACCAAATGGTGTTGAAGAATTACAGGACAAAAGAGAAAAAGATAAGAAAATAACTGAACTTGTGCAGTTATGAATAAGATAAATGGTGAAGCTCATCTAATGCTAAAAGCAAAAGCAAATTGGCAAATAAAAAAAAAAACACAAGTATCTATTAGGTTAAGGAACCAATGTTCTAGCGCTTAACTATTCTTAAAGGGGAGGGCGGTGCAATTAGTGATTTGCCCAATATATTAGACATTTAGCTTATGACCTTAATACATACATGAGGTCGCTCGATATGCCAAGACCTACATATATTAGTGATTTTTCATGAAAGACATGGTCTGACCCATGTTGACTAGGAATTTAACAGTGCAGTCAGAATAATTATTGCATAACAGAATAAAGGAAATGTAAGTGGCATCCCTCAAAACTAACTGTTTACTAATAGTCATACAGTATAAGGCAAGAACTTACCAGGCATTGGATGGATTCCATTCTGTATAGGAGCCAATGGAACCTTTGTAGGCAAGGGACACTTCATCAGATGATACTGATGCTCAAGCAAATGATTGAACAAAAGTATTTGCTTTTTCAATTTTAGCCTGATATAGTAGGCCCTAAAGAAATCGGCATTCTCTTCTTCCAACTTCTGCCATACTGAATTGGAAAAAAAATAAACTCAAACAGAAGGCAATGGGATCTGGGAGCATCTACCTTTAAAGGAAAACATAAAAAAAAAAAAAAAAAAAAAAAAAGCAGCCAAGGCCATTTTTTACAAAAGCAATATGTCTCAACAATCAAATTATATTTATTTCCACATCATTAACTCATGGAAAAGATAACCACTTTATGTAAATAAAAATTTGAACAACTGATACAATAGATTATTTTTATTATTATTAGAATAAATATAAAAATGGCATGACGGAGACTTCAAGAAGGCTACCCAGAGTTGTAAATCCAGGATCTATCTTTGCCCGAGTCAAGAGTGTTTTGACCACTTCATCTTTATTCATATATAATTGTAGGCACCTTTCTATTAGATTTTGGACCTACAAAATTTGTTTGAATATTTATTCAAAAAGAAAGAAAGAAAAAAACATATTAGTCCAAATTAGCTTCTGTTAACTATCCAGTAAAGTATGAAAGATAGAAAGCAGGTGGAAAAACAGAGAGTTCAGTAAAAATTTTAACAAATAATGGATTGTCTTACAAGCTCAATATCCTGCCGTGAAACTTTTTTGCTTTCATTGCTTGAAGCAGATGGTGAACCTGAGTCTTTGACGGGAACATCAGTTGTGTGATTGTTTGGTTGTTCACTCTGGGACTCATGAGAAGCTTGAGCTGAAGACTGTAATTCTTGTGTGCTCTGCCAATCCATAAAATGTTTAACTAAAATATAATAACAAACCCCAATAATGTTTCATATCTGACATTATATGTTCAACTAATCTGGGGATAACATGCATCTGATTGATTGAATTAAATGGTTTCCTTATGGAAAAGTTGTCCTTTCACCTGCAAACACCACAGCATGTATACAAGAATTGTTGGGTATAATCGCATTTTAAAAGGAACAATATCAGGCATTCACATCTTGATTTTAACTGCCAATATGGTCGGATGCAATATACCCATAAAATTAATGAGATAGGGTCATCCTTGCGGATATTGCAAACTAAGTAACAACATGAAAGGAATGTAACGTGAGAGAACCTGCAAGTTCTTCATTTCTGCTGAAAATAGGCTGACCGCATGTCTTTGGGAAATTTAGGAAATGCCCAACTGCCACACTTTGAATTCAAGATATTTTGCATATATGTCTATAACAGCCTCAAGTTGAAGTAGTTTTCATCTGAAACAAGAACAATAATGATATTGTAAAGCATATCACTTTGACAACTATATTAATCTTGAAGTCAACGAAACCATCTACAAAGAAATCCAAATCCATCTAAAAAGCACTTGTGTGTATGGATGGAGTATTTTAAAAATTTTATGGAATTTAAATTAAAAGGAAATTCAGTTGCTGTAATTGAATTCCATTATTTACAAAATTCCTTGATTGGATCATTAACTTTAACAAAAATAAAAAACTAATTTGGAAATTTACTACAGCACATTAACAAACTCGATGAATAACATTACGGTAATACCTAAGGCCTTGAGTAACTTTCTTTTCAAATGAAGAAAGGGATATAGAGCTTCGTTTTTTTTCTTTAGTTTTTCAGAGAAAGTGGAAACAGTAATTGCAATTGGGAAGAGAGAAGACAGAGCAAAAGCCGAAAGCATGATTAGATCCTCATCTACATTGTTGCAAACTCCACTGCTCTTTCTTTAATTCCTACAAGCTGGTCTCTATATTTCCTAATTGTCTAACCAAATCACGTAGATACAAGTTTACAATAGAAACCGCAAGAAAAATATCAAATTAAAAATGGAAAACAGTGGAAAAACAAATGCAGCATTGATGCAGATTTACCATCAGACAGTTTTACAAATAACCAGTGACAGTACCAAAAAATTGGGGGAAAAGAAATGTTGTTAACTGGGATGTACATGGAATCGAAAACTGAAGATACAAAGTTTGAAATTCACCAGCTTGAGCGAGATGAGCTGTGTATTTTGGTAAAGACTTGCAACAGAGAAAACTTGACTGGCAGAAGCCATGGAGAGAAAAAAGAACTTGTATAGGATGAGTTAAGTTACTAGAAGAGGGAATTTTGAAATCCACCCTATAATTCCGTATTTTGGGAAATAAATTATAAATTATCCTATTGAAATCCTTCGGGTATTTGAAAATCCTTCTGTCATATATCCAAACAAACATTTTTTTATTTTTATTTTGCAACATTATAAATACCCAATAAAATCACCATGCGATTTTATCTCAGTTGCTAAACAAAACAAAATGGGGCGTCCAATGATAGTACACAGACAAGTTTACATTTATTAGTACACTGCAAATCAGAAGCTCTACATGGTTTTTGAGACCACTTAAAATTTTCTTGAGCAAAGAAGAAATAAAAACCATAATTGGTTCTGGTTCTACATAAAGCTAGGCATTACCATATCAATTTTAGCAAGCACTGGAAAGAAAGATGAAATCAGACAGAAAAACGACAACAGGAGAAACAAAGCACTTCACCGACAAATACTGAGTATCTCCATTCTCCAACGATTCAAATAATAGAACAACTAACAAACTATCTATTTGAATCTCAATGAGAAACGGGAAGCAGACATATAAATTTGAAATGAATCAGATCTTAATTGTTAATGAAGTCCAAAGCTTACAACTACCTTTCTTGTCTCTCTCTTCATCAGAGTTGATCAAGGGAAAAAAAAAACTTTTAAAAGGAACAAACTTTTTTAGCTACGAGACAATAAATAAAAAGGAAGGGAGGGGGGGTTGAAGATCTAGCAAATATCAACTCGAACAAACAATTCCGCTGTTTGTCTCAACGAATTGAGAAAACCTCAGTACCTATTTGTTAAGTTCAGAATCCTCCGTGTAATGGAAATGAAGCATTGAGGAGGTTTAAGAGATATTTCAGGAAGAGTAGAAAATGATATTTACGTCAGAGAATCAGAGATAGATAGAAATAGAAATGATAGTGGTATTGCTGAAATTACAGAGGGCGAAGGATCTTCATTCTTCAAAGCAAAGGTTAAACAAGTTACATTGAGTCGACAGACAAAGATAGAGAGAGAGAGAGAGAGAGAGACGTTAAATGGAAGTTACATTGACTCACGGCTCCAACGACTCCGTCCTCGGCTTCGGTCGTAACGGCGCTATGTTATTGTTATGTACAACACACAGTCACGAGGTCCGTGCCAGTTCCTCATTGCCTTTATTCACATTCTATTAATGAAATAGTATAAGTTTTGTTTAAAAGACTCTTATTTTATTTTTTTTATGTACCAAAAAAAAAAAGAGAGTTTTTTTTTAAGGTTTTGTTTTGAGCATGAGTTCAGGAGCAAGATTTAGAAAAATCAGAAAATTTTTGCTACACAAAACCCCTACAAAAAATCGGGATGAAAAAGAAAGAAATAAAAGCGTAAGGAGGAGCTCGTACGTAACGTAACGTAACATTGATTGCCATAAATAGAGGATCTAAAGAAATTGACAAAACTCGGGTAATACAATCCCAAGTTGTTAATTGTTGATCTCAATCTCATCCCTGACTGACCTGTAGTGTAGTGTAGAGTATGCTATGCCACACTCCATCCATCATTCGCGTGGTCCACCCCTGCACATTCTTCAATCTTATTGCATTCCCAAACCGATACTTTGCGGTCACCACGGTTATGATTTTTTTATGGGTTTTATACTTCTTATTCAACACGAGAATTAAAATTTTTATACGCACCTTTCGATTTTTGTACTGACATGAGTCTTATATATAATTTTTCTAAGACATGAGTCACACATATTTTTTATCTCTATAACATGATAATTAAATTCTCAACGTAAGAAAATCAAACCCCTTTTTTTATTGGTGTTTATAATTTTTTTTCATTAATTTTTCTTTGCCACTTACGATCGTGCAGACCATCAGCATCCATGCATTTTATGAATCATGTAGCTAAAAAATTCTTAGATATATATATCAAAAAAAAAAAATTTGTTAGATTTTTTTTTATTACTCATATACTCAACCATGTAATTGTCAAGCTATATTGTTTTTAATCATTAAATATATACATATATATATATATATATATATATATATATATATATATGAACGTAAATGTAAAAATAAGTTTATCAATGTAAGAATATTGTCCGCTTAAATAAAAATCACATTCTCTTGTAAAATAAGTCACATTTATTTTGTAACGAATGTATCCAAAAAAAAAAATCATATTTATTTGTTATGACTAAATTAAATAAATTATTTTGTAACGTAAATAATAAAAGTAACTGTTTTAATAGTTAACATATATACTTATTATACATATTAAAAAATAAAATATGTATTCCTCTTCTTACTGAAGTTTGAGGGTCTTTCCTAACCTAAATGTATCATTCCTAATTTAAACTTTTCCATGTATTATTAAAAAAATCAAAATATTATTTATCAAAGGGATTAATATTTCTGAGAAGATAATTTTATTTTTTATAACACATAAAAATATGTAGGGATTATTTTTTTCTTTCTTCAATTTGTATCATCCTATATACACCTTAGATATTTTTATGATGTATAAAAGATAAAATTATCTCCTATCACATGAAAAATATTAATTCATTTGTTAAATTACCTTATCAAAATTCAAATAATAATTATGTATTTAAGCTTTTTAGCCATTTGCCTTAGCGATAGGGGTGGGGGTGCTCCTGCTTTTACCTTTTGGCCAGGGATTACACCTTTCATTATTCTTTTTGTTAAATTGTCTTTTAAGATGATTGTGAAAATTTTACAAAGAATAATTAAGTAATTTGATTATTAATGAAAATAAGTTTATTAGACAAAATTAATGAAATTTGGTTATAAAATAAATAATAATTCAAAATATCTTAATCAAAAAGTTTGACACGTATAATATTGTAGAAATTTCCCATAAAGGATGGCATAGCTTCATGGGAAAAGAAATTCTGCAATTGATTGGTACAATACCTTGACAGAAGGTTGCTGATTTCGAGAATTTTTTTATTTTTTTTTTGTAAATGATTTCGAGAATTTAGGCGTTGGTACAGAACCTCTATTCATCCTTACTAATTTAAGGAGAAGTAACGATCGAGATATGTTACTATTAAGTTATTATCAATTAATCTCACTGTTAGATCGATTATGTTGATCTAACGGTTATATTTATTTTCATCTTTGTATAGTCATGATTTCTTATATTTAAAGTGAAAACATTAAATATAAGAAATCATAATCATATAAAGGTGAAAATAAATATAAAGTATTAAATTTGAGAAATCATGACCATAAAAATAAATATAACCGATGGATCAACATAATCGATCTGACGGTAAAATTGATTAGTAGTAACATGGTAGTAACACAACTTAATTGTTAGAATATCCTTTCTCCTAATTTAATACCTATTTAAGAGAAGAATTTATTACAACGATATAAGATTTTTTAAGAAATAAAAAACGTTTATTTCTACAAAAACTATAAAATTCGGAAAGGGGACATCTCACGCAAAAAATATGATATGATCATGTGGGAAAATCACAATCTTACAAAGATAAATTAATGGTTATGATTTCATAATTATCTATTTCAATATTTTTTTTCTCTCTTCTATTATTACAACTAATTCACTATTGTATAATTATAATTTTTCACATAATATAATATGATCATATGAATTTTCATGTCAGAGGATCTAAATCCATAAAATTCAAGATTGCTACATTTTTTATTTTTCAGATTGAAAAAACGGATAGAGTAGGCTGCGATGCATCATGGCTCGTGACTCTGAGCCGCTCACGAGCTGCGCGTGCGGTGACACGTGAATGAATTTAAAACATTCTTCGTCAGCATTGCATCATTGCTCAATACTCAGTTATTGTGGTCGCTGAATTAACTCTATACTTAAATTAAATTAATTAAACAATTCCCTGATTATGAGCGCCAAAAATACAAATTAAATAGCCAGAGTATCGCCGCAGTTAATATCAACACGTGTAACAGATTTTGTTTCCTTGTGCACACCAACCAATGAGATTTGGAGCCAAGGTTACTCTATATCCGTTTTTAATTAATTCATTTACATAATTTATTTCTTTTATATTAAATTCAAATTTATTTTTCTAAAATTGATTGATATTTTTCTATGTTAATCTTTAAAAACAACATATTTTCTTCTTGGCATTTTTAATTATATTTTAATTTTAAACTAAGTATCCATATGTTTTACATTTTTAAATATATAAATTTAAATTAATTATACATATTTTTATAATTTTATATTTAAATAAATAATTAATTATTTGAATAAAATTGTTTGGAATGACACGTGGCATGAAGTTAACGGTTGATCGTGGCGAACGCTTGACCGTTTTCATTGGAATCTGAAATCAAAAACAATGATTATATCGTCTGAAAGGAACGACTTTCAAAATTCCCGCTAACTTTGTTTTATTAATTTCCCTTCTCGTCGTTTGGCGCCTTTCGTTTCACCGTAAATATTGCCCGCCAAATCTAATTTTTAGTTTACTTTTTAGTTATTACTATTTCTCATGTTATAAAAATTAATTTTATCTTTTATATAAGGGAAAAACTACTCTTATGCAACATAAGAGTAGTTTATCTCCTATAGACCCATCGAAAATCGTGACACTCTTTTTTCTTTTTTTTCCTTTTTTGAAAATAGTGGGTCCTACAACATATGTATCTACAACATAAGGTATCTTTTCTCATGTAACATGAGATTAGATGAACCCTTTATATAAATACATAACATAAAAATATGGATTCAAACTATCAAAAAAAAAAGTATATGGATTCATATTTGTTTTTCTCTGTTTTTTTTTCATGACTACACATGAGATTCATATATAATTACGTATGTGTATTAGATAAAATTATTTTTCTACTTTTTAAACGTTTAATTTATAAGAAATTTGATTCTATTGTGTTAAAAATTAACATGATTTCATCTTTTGAGGCTTTAAATGAAGGAATCCATTCTAAAAAATTGTACTATGTAAAAATAAGTGCAGTCGAATTTATTTGGAAAATCTTAATTTTTTTGTGAAATATAAATACATATGATAAGGCATATATTAATGAGTCTTTCAAATAATCAAGGGAGAAAAAAATAAAATAGGAGTCGCTGAACATAAAATAATATATGCTTTAATTTTTAAGTTAAATGAATATGTTTACCATCTCATTCTCTTAATAATTAAAATAAAGATAATATATGCAGGGACAGAATCACGTTAGCTGTGGGGGGAGAGTCTTCGCCCTAGCTAAAATTTTAAAAATTAACCACACTAAGAACGTGACTAAATAACTTTTCACATTTTAGTGTTTTGTATCATTTAAAAAAAATTTAGCCTTAGTTGACTTGAGAGACTCGCTCTGCAACTGAATACATGATTATGTATTTAAATATTATTAGATGCTGATATTTTATTTTTTTTGTAATTACAGTACATACTAATTAAAACTTTAATTTATTAATTATTTTATTCATATTCCATAATTGAAGTCGAAGTTAAGACTTTTCTTGCTTTGTTATGATAAAACTAATATTTCTTTTTAAAGTTCAGAATTTTCTTGCTGTGCTACTCAGAATTAATTTTGGGTTTTTTTATTTTACTTTGATTTATGATGCTACATTCTTATGTTACTTATATTATGTCGGTGAATGATTAGTATCTAACTAATACATTTCGCGGTCATTGCATGTTGTGTGTATTTTATTTTATTTCATATTTTTGTACTCATGAACATATTTTCTTTTATGGTTGTGTTATGTTGCGTTTTTTTTCCATTATAAGCTGTGTGTTTCTATATTTTTAATGTTTACGTAATTTGCTTAGGTTTCGGAGGAGGGTTTTAGGCCTAATTCAAGGCTCTTTCATTCTGTTTTCATCATAATATTATGGTCTTTATCACATTTTATATATTCATTCCCTCACCCATACACACCTCATCTCATCAATGCGAAATGAACTTGTTATATACATGCGGATGAAGCTACTAGGTAATGAAGTGTTACATCATTACATGCTTCATCACAGCTGCCAACCTTTCTC